CTCCCCCGCCCCCAGGGTCTGTGCAGGGGCCCGCCACCCCCACGCAGCTGGAGAGCCACTCCGCGCTAGCCCAGGAGTCTGGACACGATCTCGACCGACCACAAACTCAGCACTTTCCTACCCTTTGGGGTCCGGTGGCCTCAGCATTTTCCCCCAAAGCTTGTTAAAAGGGCGCGATCGCGAAGAGGGAAATTAGTGTTCCCCACCCGCGGTCTAGCGACAGGAAGGGGGTCGGGGTGTAAATCCTTGCACTGCCTCCACTGGCTCAGGAATCAGCGTGGTTTTGACCTTGGCCTTTGGCCCTGGAAAACCGAAGAGTGAGCACACTGGGAGGAGTGGGTGTGCGTCTCTGCGCACCTGCGTGTGCGCAGGACGAGCCGACGCCCGTGCGTCTTTCGGTGGGGCTCGGAGTCTCCGCACCGACCGCTGCATTGAGAAACCCACTCCTCTCTTCCCGCCGCGGGTGCAGAAGGCGCTCAGATTCATTCTGAGCCAGTGCCTTGAAGACAACACTTTGTCCCGGGATGTCTCTCCCGCCAGCATTTGAAGCAGCCTAACGCATTAATACCGGCAATGTGAACCAAAGACGTAGTGGCGCACCCCTGCTCAGTCGTGGCAGGGGACCCTCAGGACCTCTGGAGGTCCACGAAGTCCTCAGAGAACCTCAGTTGGGTCTCTGAAGAACAGCTGGGTGCAAATCACTTGACTCCAACGGCTTTAGAAACAGATACCCGGGTGGCACGAGACGCCCCTGCAGCAGCATCAGATAAATCACTTATTTGTGATATCCCTTCCCAAGAGCCAACTCCCTAGGCAGAGAAAAGTGGCAAACCGCCTTCACTGTCCCCTTGCCTTGGTGAAGCTCCCGCGCACCGAGGTCTTTCTGTGGTTCTTTTACCTCCCAAAACATTCTTTTTCGTTTGGTCGAGTCCTCAACTCACTCACTGTCGCTCTACATCGGCAGACACGACCGTTTTGAGTACCCAGTTGAGAAGAATAGTTGTTTTATTTTTCGATCCTAGGGCGCCAGACCCTCCCCACCAAATCTCGATGGGCACATTTAATGTTTCTTTCAGCCAGCATTCAAAGACAGTGAGTCCTGCGTTTGCTTTAGGAACTTGGAAGCATTGTAAATGGCCCTTCCGAAAACGATTATTATTATCATCATTATTATTATTCCCTTGAGTCAATACAGGACTTTGCTGGAATGTAGGACGCTACGCCATCCGAAATCTGAGCTGTATCCAACCCTACTCTGAACCTCAAGCAGGGTGAATCTCATGCTCGGCAGAAACACGGGCCCTGAGAGGAGACTTGGCGTAAGTGACCCAACCCGTGCTAGACGCCCAGAGGTCATTTTCTACTCATTGGCAGAGAGTTCCATGCGCGTAGGTCTTTGTGGATTGTGTAGGTAACCCTGCATACGCCAGCCACAAGGCGGAGGACGCCACGAGGCCCCTGGATGTGTGCGCGAGCTTGTGGGCGCTCTCTAGTCCGAATTGGACACGTGCAAACTTGGCCGAAGTTCTGACGCACGCAAGCCGCCTTTTAAGTGGGACAACCAGAAAATCTCTTCTCGGAAAAAGAAGAGCCTGGCAGACGTCGCTAAAAAGGCTGAGAGTTCTGTCGGCAGGTGACTCTTGACTGATCACAACTTCCAGAACTAGACCCAGATACGGGGAGCGTGGGGGGGCGTGGGGGGGGGGATTGGGGGG